GTTCCCAGCCACAGTGAGAAAGCACCCATCCTGGGCACATGTATTGTTTCTGATAGCAGAACTATCTAATGGCTTGTGGTAGAACCTGTAGCATTTCATTCTTAGTTCTAAAGAGCATTAGAGAGATCAAGTTTTTAGTTCCACCCTATTATATATTATTAACTGTCACAATAACATTGAAGTACATGTTAGAATTCTCCAAGGTCCAGGAAATAGTTTAAACCAAAGGCTGACTGGCTTAGCCTCTTGAGTATTTTCTATGGGAAATGCCTATGCAACTTTTGGGCTTAAAACACATAGAGAAGAAGTAAATAACATGAGGTGGGGGATAAAGGCACAAAGTTTTAAAAGAAATATAAGACACCAATATCAGCCATGTTGATTACAAACTGACACAGTATCCTTCTCTAGCAAGGGCAGAGGGTGGGGAGTGGAGGCAGAGTCTTGAAGGATACTGCTAGGCCCTGATTTTAATTATTCCCTCACTGTAGCATCGTAGGTGCCTCATTTGGAGTCTATGTCTGCTTCATCTGACAAGTCTTAAGAACATTAATTCAAGGCTTTGCTATCTTGTCCCATAGCTACCTAACCCTCCACTGTAGTGTGAAGCCAGCTGTGACTTGAATGGGCATCACTGTGTTTCTATTAAACTTTATTTAGAAGAATATGTTACCTAGAGTCTTCTTTGGCAACCACTGGTCAGTCAATAAAGATAATTTGCTAACCTGGAAGGAGAGAATCACAGAAACACAATGAAGCATGGGAAGGAACTCTGAAAAGATGGCCCAAGAGGAAAAATGGCCAAGGGAGATGCTGATGTCAAAAAGATATGCTCCACAAAAACTACAAAACCCAAAGTCAAGATTCGCAATCTATTTTTGATAAAAATTGTTTATCATGGGATTTGAGCCACATTTAGAAAATCAGCAGCAGCCCAGTCCATCTCAGGAGAGGTCACCTGATCTTTGGGTTTATGAGGATTACTGCTGAGGAAGTAAGTCCTTTCTGCAAAGGCTCATTGTTATCTTAGTGACTGACTTAGAGACTGACCTAAGGGACCAGGATGTTCTATTTTCTCACCACCTGATTGTTTTCTCACTAGAGGTCAATTATTTAAAACCCTCCCTTCCAGCAGCCAATACTTAATATACATGAGGGAGAGAACTACTTCATTCTTGGCTTGTGTTTCTTCTGGATGTCACAAATCTTTTTGTTGAGGCATCAAGGGATACTTTTTTCTACTAGACATCGATCTCAATAGGAAAATGCCTAGCCAGTTGAACTGTAAGACATGGTAGTGACCTGGTCTGAATGGGAAAGAATTCTAGTGCCTCTCACTGTCTTTCCTATGGTCTGGTTTTTGTTGTTGTTGCTATTGTTGTTTTGTTTTTAGTCTAAATTTTGAGAAGTTTAATAATTCAATGTCATTAATTAAATAAAATAAAATAATTAAAATAATTAATAACCTGAAGGTAATAATTTTGAGGGTATGTGGTTAATATTGTTCACCACATGGGCCCTGGAACCACCTGGGAGACAAACATCTGTATATGGCATGAAGTTTCTAGATCGGAATGAGGAGAGATGACCCACCCTACCTTTGAGTGACACCTCAACTTAATAAAAATGAGCAAGATGAGTGTCAGCACTCACTTCTGCTTCCTGACTACAGATACTATCAGCTGCTTCACACTCCTGCTTCTACTTTCCCTGCCATGACAGACTGTACACTCTAACTGTAAGCCTGAGTAAGACTTTACTCCTTATATAGGCCTTTGTCAAGTATTTGGTCACAGCAATGAGAAAGTTTAAGTGACACAGAACAGAGACCTCTACAACTTCTTGTGGGGCTCCTAGGCCAGAAGAACCTCGGAATATAGAAGTTCAGACTGGAGAGGCAATAAGGTTCCTATCCCACAGGTCCACACCCCATCATCATCAATAGAGTTCAGCTACAGCCAAAGGTGTTTACATGAAGTAAGAATACAAAGAGCCTCAGGTCAAGTCAGTTCAGACTTTGCTGCTAGGCGACTTTGCTTTAAACCTGTGAATAGTCTTTTGGCTGTCAGGGATTTTTGTATTGAGTAAGGGATTGTACATGTAAGTATATGAAAACAGAACACAGTACAAGTTCTTTCTGAAGGTTCTTTCAGTCCAAAATTACCTAGGATGTGGATTATTTAAATGGCTCTGGCTTTTCCATGAAGGATGTTTTGAAAATTAAGTCAGGAAGAAATTTAAATTCAGAGGCGTGGTCACCATTAGGGGCAAGCTATGTCCCTCTGCCCTGGTAGGTTCCACTCTCTTCTCAGAGTAAACATGCATGGCCTAGAACCCCTCTTAGCAGCAGTAGCCACAGGAATCAACGCCATAACATACAACCAGAGGACTCCTTCCTCTGTATTTTAGGATTTGTTGTGGGGACAGGGACAGTAAATAAGTTGGTTCAGCAGGGAAGCCTGACAAGCTGGGTTCAGTCCTTAAGATCAGCATGGTAGAAGGAGAGAACCATGAACTGATTCCTGAAATCCCCAGCAAGACAATATACTTTTTTTTTTTGACAAAGAATCCTTCTCTCCGAGATGAAGCCGGTCCCTGTAGCTCAGGCAGTAACTGTAATGCCTGATTGGTACTTATATCTGGAAAGTGTTCTGAGCCTGGTTTAAGTCAGATCATTACTTTTTAGTTCTGGCTGTGCCTTAGAAACAAACCAGGAGCTTTGTTAAGAAAGAAAACAATAAAAAAAAAAAATCAAATTCCGAGGGGCCCCCCCCCCCCAGAGCGGGGGGCTTAAAGTTCCAAAGTACCATAAAGATGTTAGTATTCTCTCATACAAAATTTAAACTAGAACACCACTCTCCTAGGAATCTCAGGTAAGAAGTCTATCCCAGATTAGATTTTCTTAGAAAGTCCAGGGATGTTCTCCCAATGTTTTGTTCACTTTAGAGTTTGATGTATCTGCCTTGCTACAGACCCCATGTGAGCCTCCTCTTCTCACCTGATAACTCAGTGTCTCATGGGGTTCAGACTATGACTGCCCCGTGGGACAGTGAGAAGCTGGAAATGGAAAGACTAAAGGGATGGCAAGAGATTGGGACAAGCATTCCAGATCTTCAAAACTATTGAAGAGACTGCATGCCCGAGACCACCACTGTGAATTCTGTCCCCCAGGACCCCTGCCTTAGCATCCCTGTCACTTTCCCCAGTGAATGAGAACTCATGCTCAGTGCAATGCTGTTGTGCTGCAGCTGGACCACACAGCTCCAGTGTGGGAGGGGGGCTCAGAGCCTTGGAATAGGCTTTCCCTCACCAGCTCCATGTAAAACCCTCTGCAAAGTCTCATCTTCTTCTGACTATCATGAGAGCAGAAGCGGAAAGGAGAATGTTGAAATAAAGAGGAGAATCCGACTTCAGTATTTAACACAAACACAGAGATCTCATACATGTAAACAATGTAACAACGGTTTATTTCTCTCAGAAGGTTATAAGCAAGTCACTGCCCCTGAAAGCATTTGTAAAAAAAGACCACATACCTAATTACATCCAACCACTGGATTACTCCCCTACTGAAACATTGTATCAAATAAAAATGCCACAGGTGTCAACTGAGACAATGAGTTTATAGACTTAATTGTTCTTAGTCTAATGTTCTGTATACCTGTTTCTGGAATAAACTATCAGTGCAATAGAATGCCTTAAATATTTAGGATACCATCCATAGATGTCATTAACATGAAAAATGTAGTCAGATATTCAAATTCCTGATTAAGTCAGTTTTAAAGACATAGAATGCTAGTGTACTTGCTCTAGAAAGTCCAATTAGGTTTAAAGCTATCAGTTTTATATGTAATAATTTTCTTAACAGGAATAAAGGTATTAAGCTAAACATAGTGATGCACGCCTTTGACCTCAGCACTTGGGAGGCAGAGGTAGGCAGATCTCTGTAAGTTCAAGGCCAGCCTGCTCTACATTGTGAAACCTTATCAAAAGGAAGGAAGGGAGGGAGGGAAGGAAGGAGAGAGGGAAGGAGGGAGGGAGGGAGGGAGGGAGAGAGGGAGGAAAGGAGGGAGGGAGGGAGGGAGGGAGGGAAGGAGGGAAGGAGTGAGTGAGAGAAAGAGGGAGGGAGGAAGGAAGAGAGAAAGGAAGGAAGAAAAGAAACTGGAGTGGGGGCTTGGTGAGGAAAGGAAAGGAAGGAATTGAATTAAAACTCTAACAACTACTAAAATTCAGACACTGATTTCTGCAGTCTCTCTTAGAGAAACATGAAGCAGCAGTGGGGAGCTAAGAAGTCTTCCTGTGCAGTGTGACTGGCATCGAATGTAGAAGGACCCACATCAACAAAGGCAGAGCAAGACAAGAACACCCACAGCTTCTCCATCGCTGACTGTGCGCTGTAAGTAAATGCCATGTTCAACACCCTGAACAAGGCTAAAGGCCCACCCAAGGAAATAAATTCCCTGAGAATAGCAGTCAGCCCGTGCCCTGCTACCTAATCTGCCAACAGGCAGCCCTGACCTAACAAGCTTCAGAGAGATGAGGAAGGACAACAGCTTGCTGAGCTGTTTGATGCATACAGGGAACACCCGTTTCCCAACTCTGTACAGACCTTTAAAAAAACTTACATAATAGAGTAAGCAGAGATTTTTCGCTCTTCCAAACAGGTATTTAAAAAACATTTACAAGTATGTATTAGAATTAAATGTTAATTTATGGAGCCATTCGAAGTCTTTTATATTCTAAAACAAATCTCTGGAAATTTAAAAAATACTGTATTTTATATATTCCTGAACACTGAAGAGCTTACAGTGCAATTTCTCAGTTTTCGTGTCTCAGAAATCTGTAAATGTGCTCATGAGTTCATCCTGGAAGCACCCACTCTGATGTCCAGTGGGTGCCACACTACAGACCATGGTACATGGCTGTCCGCTGAAGCTTCCAGGCTACACATGTTCTGAGATTAGATGGAAAGGAGAAAAAAAACACCCGTGTGAAACTCATTCTATTAGAAGAAAAATAACATTTTTATAAAAAAAGAACATAGAAAACATGCTGTCTCTTCTTTAGGTGCATTTCTTCAGTCAATCGACTGGTTTACCAAAAGTGTTCTCTTAGTTCAATTATTGCACAAATTACCTTTAAACAAATGTCAGAGTGTCCACTATTTATATGACTAAAACATTTCAAAGAACACTATTCATTTTAAAATCTCCTTTAAAGACTAATTAAAAACAAGCTCACCACTCTTTGCTTCACAATTTTAATATTAATGAGCAAGTCTCTCTGAGCCAAAGTGGTATTTCTTTGAGGTCTGACCTACATGTGTAGCAGTAGACTCCTAATATATGCAGAATTGCAAAACCAAGACTCAAAATTAAGAGTCAAAAAAGAAAGGAAAAAAAAAACAAACTAAGGAATTGCTGCAAATGTTCTCTTTAGCAGGACTTCTGAAACGGCTGCTTCCCTCTCAGAAGACTTGTAAAATCCACGGTCAAGATGGAACCTGGGGCCTGAGGAGCTTCACCGAAGACTGCCTCATCAGCTTCTGCTGCTGCCTTGCTGACTGTGCACTCTTAATGGCATCAAAGGCTCTCTGGAAGGCAAAGCAGGGTTACTGCAAGATGATCTCTGGCTCCCCCGAGGGTGGAGGAAGGCAGAGCTGCCAGAGTCTCCATGCAGGTGTGGACAAGGACCAGGCTACCACCCACTCATGCAATATGAACCATGACCCTTCCACTTTGGTGAGTTTCCAGCCTGCCATTCACAGGAGCATTAACTCAAAGTCACCAGTAGTAGAGAGTGTGTGAGAAATAATGGCGACTAGCTGTCACCAGCTTGTAAAGGTCTTCTGGTTAAAAACCTCCAGGGGCTTGTTAAAACGAACTTTTTACCTTGGCTGTGATAGGATCCTTCAGGTAAATTTTCCGAAGATAGCCTACATTGGCACTGTCTTTTTTGTGGAACAGCCCCTGCTCCTGTTTTTAAAAGAAATAAAGACAGAAAAGGAATTATTCTTTAGAAGAAAAAAATAGCATAATCTTTAATTGGACGCTTAAAGGTCAACTGATTTTATAAGCACTACACCACTGGAATGCATACATTCAAGTGTGCTATGAAATAAATTACCTTGCTACAAGGAGAGTGGCTACACACTGGAGTCAGGATTTATAGACCTATTTGTGTAAAATCAAGGCTTCTGCAGGCAACAATAAATAGCCTACAGGATCAGGATCACACTGTGACAATGCATGACAGCTGACAGACCAGTGGCGGACCAAAAGGCCCTCCCCTTCATCTACTGATAGATAAAATTCTTACACAATATAAAAATACAATGAATCAATTCTCACCACTGATGTAAAGCCAAGATGATACAGTAGTCTGAATGGGATTAGATCCCATAGGCTTGTATGTTTGACTATTTGGTACCTCATTGGTGGAACTATTTGGGAAGGATTGGGGTGTGGCCTTGTTGGAGGAGGTGTGTAACTAGGAAAAGGCTTTGAGGAGTCAAAAATCTCGCACCACACCCAGTCTCTCCTTCTCTCTGCCTCCTGCTTTTAGATCACAATGTAAGTGCTCAGTCAGCTGTTCCAGCCACTATGCCTCTGCTCCAGAATCATGGATCCCATCCTCTGAAACTGCAAGCCCTAATTAAACTGTTTCTTTTATATATTATCTTCTCATGGTGTTTTCTTATTGCAGCAAGGGAAAAGTAACTGAGAGACAGGTGGTAACCAGGGAACTGTAACATATGTATGGGACAGTCTGCCCCCGCTCCAGGGCACTGTTTCCTGATAGTGCTCTGTGCTCTGATGCTCTAGGTAAAGATCTGCACCAGAACACACATGGGCAGGCTGACTTGAGAGTCTCTTGTCTATAAATGTCTATAATGAGAGAAGTAAAGGACATTAATTTAAACCTATTCAAAATCTGTAGGAAACACTGTTTGGAGAGTTTTGGTAAAGAGGATAATATTGTTATTTGAGCAAAACAAAGATATTATATACAATGCCATATTTAGAATGCCAATTTTGTATGTTTCCTTAAGAGAGATAAAACTATTTGTAGAGTAGAATGTGTGTGTGTGTGTGTGTGTGTGTGTGTGTGTGTGTGTGTGTGTGGATAGTGGGTAAGCCTGAGAACCCAGCAAAGATGAGGTATAACTTCTGCTAACTCCATACTGTGTAATGGAAAGTCCATTCTTAGAAGAGGATGGGAGGGAAGACACAGGACACACACATGTAAGGTGTATTTACATTCTGTGTGCACTAGACTATAAACGGAGCTATTTAGACCTAATTTATTTTTGACTGTTTGTGTGTGTGATATGTTGACAGATAGGTGTGAGTGTGACAGTGTGTGTGCAAGGGTCAAGACAACTCTGCAGAGTCATTTTTTCTCCACAGTGTTCTGGGAATCGAACTCAGGTGGTCATGCTTGAACAGCAAGCATTTCAGTCTGTTCAGCATCTGACTGACCTTAGACCTAACATTTACTTTCCCCAAAGTACTTACTTAGTCTACTGATAACTTAGCCAAGAGAGTATCTGTAGAAATGTCTAAGGTTATATAGCAAAGTGGGTGTACATAAGAAGAAACAAAAGCTCCAACTCACTAATTTTACCAAAAGGCAGAAGCAATTCTGGCAGATCAATTGATATTTCACTCTATGTCAGAAAATAAGTTATACAAATTAGTTGTTTGTTTACAGCTTAGCATGTGTCAGCACAGTGATGGCCTTGCTCCTCTAGGAGACTTCCTGTGTGACTGTGAGGCAGCCAGAGAGCTCTGGCTGGGTTTCTCTGGCTCTCAAGGGCTGATTCGCATTTCCTCACCTTAACTGAAATCTTCAGCAGATTTTCACTGACTTCAGGAGGACACACAAAATCTTCAAACAGACACTGCCAGTCCACAGACATATGGCCTAGGATTTCAACTTCCTTTATAAACAGTACTCGCCTATTTTGGAAAAGAAAACAAACACAGCCCCAGATCAGTTCTATCCTTCACTCTGTGTGTTTTAGTAAATAACAAAAGCTGATCCCCATGGGGTGCTAAGGGTCAGAGGCTGAGTGTTGGGCAAAGGGGGATGGGAAATGTTTTATCAACTTCCTCCCCCCATGGCTCAGGGAGGAGCAGGCAGAAAGACTGTAGCAGCTGGAGGGTGGGAGGACTCTGGGAAACGCTGTCTTCTGGGCACTACTTGGCTACTGAACTTAGAACTCAAAGCTGCTATGGCTACCATTACAAGATCAAGCTAGCCCAAATCCCAGCATAGATGGGAAACAGTCTCCAGGACCCATTACTGAGGAAATCCTGCATTGGATAATTCATTGGGGAGGGAGAACCATTCTGTTTTGAGTGTAGTTGCTAGTAGGTTTCCTGTGCTCCAGTGGATAGCTGATATTCATTTGTATACTAACGGCAAAAATCAGACTTAGAGGGTTATTTTTAAAAAAGGAAGAGGAAGATGGGGACATGAAGTTAAGGAAGAGGCATGTCAGGAGAAGGTACAAGGGCAGTTGGAAGGGAGAAATGGAGGACATATATGATATTTCATAGTATATATGCATGAAATTCTCAAGAACAAACATTTTAAAGGGTACAGTCAATAGGACAAACTGGCAACTTACAGATTAAGAAAAAAAATCTTCACTAACCCCACATCTGATAGAGGCTA